ATAAATCTACGTTCAGGTTACCATCAGGTGAAAATCAGGACAGAAGACATCCCCAAGACAGCTTTTCAGACTAGGTACGGACACTATGAGTTCCTGGTCATGTCGTTTGGGCTAACCAATGCCCCGGCCATCTTCATGGATCTGATGAACAGGGTCTTCAGACAATTCTTAGATCAATTGTCTAGCTCAGGTTTTGCAGATTCTCAGAAGAAAGAAGTTGTATGCAAAGTTGAGTAAGTGTGGATTTTAGCTTGAGCAAACCACCTTCCTATGACACATCATATCTAAGGATGGAGTATTAGTGAACCTTGAAAAGGTTGAAGCGGTGCTCGGCTAGGAGAAACTGACATCAGTTAAAGAGATCTGTAGCTTTCTGGGAATGGCAGGCTATAACCAAAGGTTTGTTGAGGGATTTTATAATCTAGCTACTCCCCTTACACGACTCATAAAGAGAAATGCCAAGTTCGAGTGGAATGAAGACTGTGAAAGAAGTTTTTTAGAACTAAAAAAGCGGCTGACTACTGCGTCTGTGCTGGCCTTGCCGAATGGATCGGCGGATATACAGTATACAGTGATGCCTCCTACCTAGGCCTGGGTTGTGTTTTAATGCAGCATGGGAAGGTCATAGCCTATGGGTCCAGACAATTAAAGAGTCATGAGAAAAATTATCCTACCCATGACTTAGAGCTTGCCGCAATTATACACGCCTTGAAGACTTTGTGCCATTATTTATATGGAGAGACCTTTCAGATCTATACCGATCACAAGAGTTTGAAACACATATTCACTCAAAAGTATCTCAACATGCATCAGAGAAGGTGAATAGAACTTCTTAAGGACTATGATTTTGACATCTTGTACCATCCAGGTAAGGGCAACGTAGTAGCCGATGCATTCAGCAAGAAAAATGCAGGTATATTAGCCTATTTAATGGTTTAAGAATGCAGGCAGATTAGGGCCACACAACAGGTTCGGCTTCAAGACTTGAGGAGAGTCACATATTTGAGTTATCTGACCGTTTAGCCTGAGTTAATCCAGAGAATAAGAGAAACTCAGTCAGTTGATCTCACCTTAGTAGCCCTCAAGAATGATGCAGAATAGGGGGTTAGCTCAGAATTTCGAGTCTCTGTCAATGGGTTACTCCGATTCCAGGACAAGGTGTGTGTTCTAGGTGACAGTGAGTTAAAGAAAGACATCATGACAGAGGCCCATAGCTCAAAGTTTGTCATGCATCTCGGAAGCACTAAAATGTACCAAAGTATGCGACCTCGGTTTTGGTGGAACGGGATGAAAAGAGATATAATCGACTTTGTGTCTAAGTGTTTGGTATGTCAGCAGGTCAAGGCAGAGCATCAGTGTCAGGCGAGTTACTTCAGCCATTACCGATCCCATAATGGAAGTGGGAACATATCACTATAGACTTCGTGATAGAGTTACCTAAGGTACACTCAGGACATGATGCCATCTGGGTAATTGTTGACCGGCTTACCAAGTCTTCCCACTTCTTAGCCATCAGGATGACTGATCCCTTGAACAAGTTGGCAAGAATGTATATCTGGAAAATAGTCAGATTGCATAGAGTCCCAGTGATAGTGGTGTCCGACAAGGACCCCATGTTCACTTCTCGG